TTCAGATCCTGTGCTGACCACTGGCTGTGCCAGAGCTATGCACACCATCATTTCAGGCAGCAGCATTTATAAACACTGTCATCACTTTTCTGGCAGACAGGAAAGGTTAAATTCACCAGGGGCTCAAGGTTGATGGTGAGCACGATCCTCCACAACAAACTGCCCGCATGAATGGTTTCATACATGCTGTCTACTCCTTGCCAACTCCTCTGACAAGCAGACTTAAGAAACTCCCCTGACCACCACTGTATAGCCTGCTTAAACAGGTTTCTAGCCTGGTATTTTTGGCTCACACCCCTTGATGTCTGTACATCTCTGCATTTCAGGCTCAATGTCAGGTGATTGGGCCCGGTACTCATTAGGGTAGAAGCAACTCTACATGAAGGAGTTTTTTCGACTGAAGGGAGGAGGTCAAGACTTTAGAAGTTCAAGTTGTGCTTCTCTGAATTAACTTTGGCAATGCCTGAACAGGCAGCAGCTGGCTGCTATGTGCTGTTTCACTAGCAGGAGGCTCTATCTGGAGCACATTGTACCCATCCAATTAGGATCAGTCTCATTGGCTATGCCAGTCCTTCTTAGGCTGAAAAGTCACTTTAATAAAGATTAGCCACACTGCAATACTCATGCCTAAATATTGCAGCAAAGCTCTTTTGAAAGCCATGAGCCACCTCTTTAACTAGGAGAGGGACTGCCATGGGCACATCCCCTTATACAGACAAGCAGGTTTTGTCCTGATGCCATCCTGTAATAACTGGAGGTTTTTGCTATGGGGCTGTCTGCAGTGAGCAGAATCTCACCACACAAAAACAACATTCAGAAAAGCCACGAGAAGGAAATGGCTGGGGGAGCCACATATCTGAATTACAAAGAAGAGAGAGAGAGAGAGAGATAGGAACTTCTCTGAAAAAGGCAAAAAAGGATAAAACAGAACTTAACCAGATATAATGAGGCTCTTTTTCAACACACCTGAGTTTCTTTCTGAGAAAAAATGATACAGTCAACTTTGTTACACAGAGAAAAATACATTTCTGAGGATATATAGCTAAAGCCACTTGCTTGCTTATGTAACTGCTTTCTCCTTGTCAAAGAAGATGCAGAATCTTTGGATCTGTCTGTGGCATACTGTGAGAGGCTGTCTGTCCAGAAATGACAAAGAAGATTGCAGCGAGATAAAGTGATCCTACCAGTTTTCATCTCCCTGAATTACCTACTTCAAGGCAAATATGTGCTAGTAGTGATTTCCTGCCCTTCTCCTGTGTTTTTAATTCCTTGTCCCTCCAGTGTATAGCCAAAGTAGGCTTGATACAATCCTAGCTGCTACTGGGGTAAGTGCTAATGGGGGGTGCAGTTGCAGAGATCTCCCTGAGGCAGCATTTTTCTAACTGGTTCAGATGTGCAGCTAAGAAACAGCAGTGCAAGGTGTACTACAGGCTATTTGCCTACTACAGAATGTAGTCCAGAAGAAATTTGCCCCAAGTATAGCATTATTGCAGCTGTGCAGCTTTTACTTTGAAAACTGCAATGTTAACAAACTTTTACAAGTAGTTATCAGTATTGATTTGCTCATATCTCAGATTGCTTGAAACTGTGTTATACTGTGGAAATAAACTGCAATATGCTAAGCTAAAACTGTGTATGTAAACAATTGCAAGTCAGATGCTTCGAGCTGTGCTTAGTTTAAGGCCTTAATGCCCTAAGCTCCCTTAATTTTTAGGGAAGAAATGATGGGGCCTTTACTTCATATGGTTATTTGGAGGTCAGAGATTACATAACAAAATAGGTTGTGAGAGGCCTCTGGAGACTATCTTGTCCAACCCCAAATCTAGGCAGGGCCAGCTTAAATCAGGTGGCTTAGACTTTTGACCAGTCAAGTTCAGAATATCTGCAAGGACTGAAACTTCACAGCCTCTCCTGGCCCCCACATCAGACTACCCTCATTATGAAAACATTTTTTACCTATTATGTAACCAGAATTTCCCTTGCTGCAACTTGTCGTCATTGATCTCATCCTTCCACTGTGCACCTTCAAGAAGAATCTGTATTCCTCCAAAGTTCATATGTTCCAACTTGCTTCAAGCCTGACCTAATAATAAAGCAGATCTGCAAAGGACAAATGAGCCTGATACCAAATTTAAAGGAGCTATCCTGCTTTATCAGTGTGGAGAATCTGGCCCTTCCAATGTCAACAGTAAGGCAATGTACAGACAGCTGTATCTCTAAGCATCTGAAAATGCTGACACGTTTAGATGCCTCGTATTTTCAGGCTTGGTTTCAACAGCCAGCTAACCTGCAAATGACTTTCATGGAGCATAAAAGCACACTTGAATATCCCCAGCTTTTACATAAAAAATAGCTCAGGAAACTCAGACAGAGTCTTATTTCCCCAGAGACTCTAGAGCCACATTTGAAAAGCCAAAGTTACACTTCCAACACTTCCTAGTCTTACATCTTCCACCCACATTCTTTATTAGACTGTAATTCTGAATGCTGTTGTTTGCTATGGGATCTCTAAGCTGAGGTCCCAAGGCAAAGGGAACTATCAAAGCTACAGTCAGAGAAAGTTTGATCTTGCAAGAGAAAATGTTAACACAGAGTCCCAGATTTTTTGCATTTCTTAATAGTTTTTTTAAAAATTAGAAATAGAATGACTGATTACTTATTGAAAAAATACAGTTTTCTATATTCCCTGCCGGCAAAAGTCTTGATTAGTTCACAGGAGTCTATTTTGTTAGCAATTTAATTTCATATATAGTCAAAATCAAAGTTTGTCCTTCAGTCTCAAAATATAAACTGTATTTTGTTCAATGTGATGAGTTTCAGCTTTGCAAAGTTTGGTTTCAGTCGGATTGATACTTCTCAGCACTGTGCAGATCCTCCCCTTACATAAGAGTCTTGTCTATAATACAGTTCACCTTTCCAGAAGGAAAAATGTGGAGGATTTAGAGTGGACTGATAGGGAGTTTCTTTTGTTCATCACCAAGTTAAAAGGGTCATTTTCATATCCAAGAAGCTGGTATGAGACACCAGAAACTCACATGTCTCTCTCTGAAGTCACATTCTCTAGTCCTGGACATTTCTCAGGTGCCAGCAGGACAGAATATAGTAAGCCAGATATTAAATGGGAGGTGAAAATCTTCCAAACAACAAACAGCATTATTAACTGTCTTATCCACAGGGGATGTAGTGTCCTAATATTTCTACTGTCAGTACTGATATTTCCCTTTTCTTGCATATGGCAATAAACCCCCTTTGCAGTAATCTTTTGAGAAGGTTCAAGTAAATGTAATCAGAGCTTCTTAGGAGAAGGTGTCCTATATACCTTCAGCATAAACGCACACAAATATTTCTCATTTCAAATCTCTGCCCCCATAGTGCCAGCAAGATTCAGTGGAAATAACATTTTTGTTCTGAGACTGAAGCCAGTGCTGCAGTTTAATGAGTAGTACTTTGATAGGCTGGTGGAAAGTCTAATGATACGGATTTAACTGTGTTGGACATCAGCTTTATTAGGCTGTTTCTGAGATGTGGTAGTATTGACAGTCATGATAAATGACACTCCTCAGTTATTCCTGCATGACTGGTTTTCTTTCAAAGTCCCCAAAAGGTTTAGAAAAGATGAAACATTTGCAATGGTATTGTGTCCAGGCGCCTTCCTACCCAGCTGATGAACAGAATATTTTAATCCTTATTTTCTGTGTCAACAGAGCCACAATGAGGTTTTGATTATGGAATGAAAAATGTCATTTTCTGGTTGGCACAGAGCCCACTTTATATTGGCCTAGGTGTTTAGTTACCTTTTCACTGTGTTAGCCCAGCAAAGGATGCTAATGGCTGAACAAAAGGGGGAAAAGGTAGCAAGTCTCTTTGAGGGGCTAAGCTAACCTTGTGTGGTTGATTGTCCCATTAGAAAGAGTATGCCTCTAGTTACATAGTATGAATTGTTCGTTGTCATTAGACCGTGGAAGACCAAAAGCAGCCATACAGAAAAGCAGTTTTTTGTAACAACATGGTTTCATTGAGAATTACTTCAGGTCATTGAGTAGCAAGCTCATCACAGTCAGTAAAATAATATTAGAATTTTTATGCACCCATCAGATGCAGCTTTCTGAGCTCAGTAGAAAAAACCGTGTGGTTCATAATGCTTGCGGTATGGCTTTTTGTGTTGGTCACTCAGTGTCAGCTGGAAGATACTCCATTTGTGCATCAGAGAAGATTCCAGCTTTGGGATGAGGCTGAACTCCACATTCTGCAGCTGCTTCTTCCTCTTCCTTGCATGACCTTCAGCATCATTTCAGAGCAACTGAGACTTCATTCTAACTTACAGCAAGTGCTATACAGAGTTTATGATCTAAATAAAATATGCTGGTATAGGAGGGCCTTTTCAAAACACTGTAGGAGTGTTTAGGGAAGCACTTTTTGTGATCACACCACAGCAGGTGAAGCAATGGAGCATTGGAATTCACAGCACCTAAACTTCTGCATGGGCTTTAAGGCCTTATTCTTAAGTTCCTTAGGTTAAGCTTGTTTAGAAAGTCCCCACACAACAATGGTACAGTCAGATAAATACCTTTTCTTTGCAACAGCAGAGTTAAACTGCTGGCTATACCTGCTCCTGTAGGAATGGTATGGGAAGAGAATAGCAGTCAATCAGGGGTCAGTGGTTAGTCCAACACTGAAGGACTTTGGTGACAAACTCATTGCAGGGCTAGTATGTTAAAATACATAGGCATTTGTAGCTGTTGACATGCAGTGGATCCGTGGAATTAGCAGTACAAATGGACACTTTTGACTCATTCCTTTCATGATAAAGGAGTGCATTCATGTTGTCTGCTAGAGAATATCAGGAGCCAGTCACCTATGATAAGTACATGTCTAGAAGGAGTCGTAGATGCCATCCCAACTTCAGAGCAATTTATAGAAACTGCTGCATCTCTGAATCTTCTTGTGGTCCTGTAGCCTTTTCCTGTAAGAAGTAATGCATCTTTCCTTGTTTTTCACAGCTGAGAGGAAAGGGAAACGCAGAATCCGGACAACGTTCACAGCTGAGCAGCTCCAGGAACTGGAGAAAATTTTCCAAGTGACTCACTACCCAGATGTCCATATTCGCAATCAACTGGCAGCAAAGATAAACCTCCCAGAAGCCAGAGTTCAGGTACAGTGTGTCTCCAAAAGGCTGTATTCACTGCAATTCATTCATTATTTGGAGGGCATTCTTAATCGTTTATGCCTGGGTGGCAGTGCTAATGAGATACGTGACCTCTCTCTTACCCTACAGACAGGGCCACTGTCACTGAACTCTTTTTACAAATAGGGGAAGAGGTATTTTTCGCCCAGCTGTGACTAACCACATGGAATTAATCAAAGGGTTAACAGAAGCTCTAAGCATACTAAATGCATAGCAAATAAGAGTTAGAGATGGTTATGAGTAACCTGTTGGACTCCGTAGCGACAGAGCAGCCATTTATGAAAATATTTATTGATCATTTATCAACCATTTATAGGTTAATATTCATCTAATACAAACTGTCATCCACATTCATCTTCCACAGGGTCTCAAAACACATGAAAATAGTTGCCAAAATGGAAGTGCTTCTTAGTGTTCTGTATTTCGATAGGACAGGCTATAAATGCCCTGGCCATAATTTCAGTGCACAGAAACTAATCTGGTTTCCCTCAATTGTAATATAATGTTGCTGACTGAGCTAAAATTGACCCCAAATTCTTACTGCATAGGAAATCTGCTACATTAAAATATACATACCACTCTGTATTGGCATTTGGTGTTGCCTACCAGGCACTGTAGTGATGATTTTTGCATGAAGCAGTTTCTGCACTTGCTGCAATGCTATCTATAGTCATTGGTGTACTTCTTTGCATATATCCCTCTCTAACAATCAAAGTTCAACACAGAGCTGTTTATTGACTATGACATGCCTGGGACTATTGACTAGCCATGATAATATTGCTTCATCGTTAGGTGACAGGGAGAATTAGACCTGCATTGCCACAATATGCTCATCAGCAATACCAGTACTCCAACAATGCATTTCCAACAGCATAAAAGACAAGCTGAGCTGCCAGTCAGTGCTCTCCACAGAACAATGAATCACATGAAAGAATAAGGTATTTTTCTGTTTAAAAAATTTTTTTATAATATGTATAGGGAAAAATAAAAATTAGTTATTACAGGAAACATCAACCTGAGATGTAAATGACAGAAGTAAAAAGCCCCTCATGTATGAAGTGCAGATGGTAAATTCCCAATTCAGACAGTGTTATACATGATACAGGAAATTCTGTCTTTGACCTCATCCTGGCTGATAAAGGGAAATCAGCCACAAAACTAAAAATTAGCAGTAATTTAGGTTCAAGTTACAAGTTATAGTTTCAATTGATTGCATTTGTCACACAAATCAAACAGCATACAGAGAATTTGCATATGCTCTTGCTACTTTGAAATAGTTTTCACAAAGCTTTGTGTAAGTTAAATCACCTCAGAAATATAACTCAACTATCAAAAAATTAAGCCAACCGTTTGGTAACCAAATGAAACCCTTCATAAACTGTAAAAAATCTTGTGTCCTCCAGTCAAGAAAAAAAGTTATGATTGCTGTGAAACATCTTAAAGGGATAGATGAGACTGTATAACTGCATGTGTTAACACATAAAAAATTAAGAATCCTGTATGAGTAAACATGAGAAACAAGAAATTATAAAAAATAAGTAAGCAAAGCAGGAGGGTGCAGGCCAGAGCTTTGGTCAGAAAAATTAAAGATCAAAAACTCAATAAAAGTCAATTAAGAAGAAAAAAAAAGCCCAAAGTGATCAATTGTATTGATCTGTTACTTTGTAGAAACAGTAGGACTGTCAAGGATAATGCATAAATGGCAAAGATGTTCAGTCATAATTTCTGCTCTATCCTTGGAATTATGTCAGGGAGCACTTTCTAAAAGGATAATGTTGAACAGCAGCTCCTACAGACAGGTATTTTTTAATCTACACATCTAAGTAACTTACCTCCAGTGGTTCTGAAAAAGCTGCTTGAGATGTAGTTTAGGTCATCAGTGTTGATATTTAATCAGTTCTGGAGCATGAGAGACATTCCATTCCAGGGGCCTTGAAGAAATCTAATGTGTCAGTATTCAAAGGGTAACAGGACAACCAGATAATGACTGGCCTGTCAGACAAACATTGGTTTTTGGCAAAAACTGTGAAAACAACTGCATATTTTGTTAATGGAGAGTTAAAGAAAAGATAACATATTTAATGCTTATCAGCTCTGGTTTATGAAAACAGACACTGCCAAACTCATCTTTTTATGGTGAGATTATTAGTGACAGTTTTAAACTGAAAGAAGGTAGATTTACTTTGTGTATGAGGAAGAAATTCTTTATGGTGAGATTGGCAAGACACTGGAACAGATTGCCCAGAGAAATTGTGGGTGTCCCATCACTGGAAGTGTTCAAAGTCAGGCTGAATGGGGCTTTGAGCAACCTGGTCTAGTGAAATATGCCCCTGCCCACAGCAGAAGTGTTGAACTAGATTTTCTTTAAAAGGTGCATTCCAACCAAGAGTAGTCTATGGTTCTGTGCATTTGGTTGATGAATGTAGACAGAGCATGAGGAATCGGTTTAAAAGACAATTGAAAGGACTCATGCTGGGTATGGAGAAATCATTTTAGATGTAAGGGTGCTGGAGAGCTGGTTGGGGAAAAAAAGAGCAGTTTGGTCTGAGAAGTGTTAAAGTCTTTGCCTTTAGTTAAATAAAATAAGTCCATGAAGTGAGAACTTAATCCCATGTGCAGATTTTAGAAGGAGCCCTTCAGAGACTGAATGTTGGCTGGAGTGCCCCCTTTGCCCTCTATCACTTTGTGAGTGTTAAATGGTGCTGTTTCACCATATAACTCCTGCATGGTAGAAAGGGAATGGAAAAGTTCATACAGACTAAGCAGTTTCCAGACACATGCGCACCCAGATAAACAAAACTGTCCTTTCAGTAACCCCAGATACTTCTAGCTATCAGCAATATAGCAGCTAACTATCAGCAATATAGCAAAGGGCTCCTGACATTCCCATTACTTCTTGGGTGAGAGATGCAGAAATAACTGAGCTGCTCATTATTTGGCTTAAAATACATATGTATTTACATTCAGTAGCACCTGTGTTCAATAACCAACACTTTGTGTTCATGTGAACCACTTGCTTACATTCAAACAGCAAGTCCCTTAGCAAGCTACAAACTACAATTGAAGGGGGCTTCAACTTTTCACGGCAGTGCAGCAAGATGCACAACTGCAGCTGCACAATAAATACATTTATGCCTCTGCCAGAAGGCAGACTGGTCAAATCAGCTGACAGATGAAAGGAATTCCCCAGAGAAAATTAGTTGTCTGCTTTCCAGTGCAAATGAGACAGCTGACAGCATACTCAGATTGCTGAGTGATCCCGGTGGGTCTTTCACTTAGGTCCCTTATGTGAATTTCCAAATGCTACCAGCTAAACACAGGTAGAACCCTGTTACTACATCTCCACTGGTGACACACTTTTATTGCAGCCCAGCAAAACATCTAGGTGGATCTATTCTCAGTCTATTCACTTGGAAACAGGGTGGAAGAGCTCTGTCATGAGATGTCACGCCTTGGGAAAACAGAATGCTGTGTGCATTGACCACTGCACAGCTTTGTTCACAGAAGGATCTGCTCTCCCCAGAGAGCCCTGGGAAACCTGCAGTACTGTCTTTCCTTGAACAGGGTGATCCTATTTCTTCTGTGAGCCACAATAGAAAACAAGATATCATGGTTCAGAGTTTCCATATGCTATGTAAAGTGTGAAAAGTGCTCTGTCAGACCCAGTGGTTTACTTTAGATTCAGCCTCTGGTTCTGCTGAGCTGGACATCAGTGTTTTCTGATGCTCAGAGTTCAGGGAAAGTAGTTGGCTGTGAGAAGATCTTCCTTCATATTCGGTTAATTTCTATACCTTTTATTTCTTGCCTTTATCCAGATCTGGTTCCAGAATCAGCGAGCAAAGTGGAGGAAACATGAAAAGTTCAGCAACTTCGGTGGCCTTCAGTATCTGACAGAAGTTGATTTCATTCCTGCTCCCAAGTCAGATATCACAGTGAGTATTGGACACTTTGTGTCAAAGCCAGTGAGGGAGAGCCAGCTATCCTTCACCAGGTAATCACTTCACCAGTAGTGCCATGGGACTATCCCAGAGAAGGAGCACTGGAAAAGACAAAACTGGCAATGTGATGACAGAAAATCCCACCATCAATCCACTGATCAAATAACACATTTCTTCATAGAATTAAACCTGTTTCATAAATATTCTGTGAGGTGTCTCTTGTAGGGTCCTTCCCCATTTTGCTTCTAAATCACTTCCCTATAAAACATACTTTGATTCAGAATGCCTTTATAATCAGAAATTTCCTGGAGAGGAAGACCTAAGACATTTGCAGACACAAAGCCATGTCCATTTAGAGACAGAATCTCTTTACAACATCCAGCCTTGGTTAGGCTGACCAGTACCTTGACCTGTGCTTTAGCAATCCAGGACTGTTATTTTTTAGGCTGCCACACAAGCTCTTTCCCTGACAGGAGTTTTTTCATGGCTAGAAAAAAGAGTATTTTGCTTTGTGTCCTGGGTGACAACACACCACTAGGGTTTAGGAAGTCTGTTTTTCTAAACGTTTCTTCTTAATTACTGATCACCAGGGAAACAAATAAGGTTGATTGTAAATTTCATCTACGTAGAAGTCCATGTTGATTCACCTGAGACTATGCTTTTATTCTTGAAAGGCTCGTAGCTTGATGCCAAGAAAGCTCACTGCTTCCTATCCTGCCGTGGGATACTACTCACCACTGCAAGGACAGCTGACAACTGCCTGGCTGCCCAGCACGTTCTCCTTCGCTCCCCACCACGTGGAGCTGCTGCCCTTCCCAGAGCCATACTTGCTCTTCAATGTCCTGCCCCCGTACAGCTCGCTGCTACCCCACAGGCTGGAAAGGAGCAGTATCTGTGCCAGCTCCTCATAGAGCAGGACACGGGGCAGGGAGGGCTTTGGGGATGCCTTTCTCTTCATGTCCTCCGTGGAGTTGTGCGGTTCCTCTCCTCGAACAAACCTGCTGGGATGTTGGGTGGCACTGGTGCCAGGTCACCATGCTGGAAGAGAGGTGCCACAGCCCAATGGATGAGGGCAAGAGGCACCAAGGACCAGAAAGGAGCTCCTCATCTCCCTGAGGAGCAGCATGCTCCGTGGAAACCCAACCCTTCAACCAAGAGCCTCTCCCCAGGGGGACAGTGCACCAAGCAGCCCTGTGAAAGGATTTTCTGGGATTTTACTCAGCCATGAGACATTGGATGACCCTATTGCGCCAATGGCTGGAGGCAGGAAGGACACTGGGGCTGAAGTGTACATAGGCCTAAGGGCCAGCCAAAATTGCTTTTCTCTGCAGGTTTTGGTGACTTTGCTCATACATTCTGGTCTTCATGTACTGCAAAGAACATGTTTAGGTCAAAAATCAAACTTTAAAGATACTTTTTTTTTCCAAGTAGTCAAATGGGGGGGGAGGAGGGTTGATTTGCTGTCTGTGGTTTTGACTTGAATAAAGGGGAACAAACACAATCTGAGCTGAAATATTACAGTCTGAGCTCTGGATTTGGTACTGCAAGTCTCTGGGGGCAAGAGAATTCTTCAGCTGGTTAATTAAAATGCTTATGAGGAAGCCTCTCATTTTTTGACCTAAATTAAGAAAGCTCCAAAATACCCCCAGAAACAATAACAAAAAAAGACAGCCTGAGTTTAATCTGCTCAGTCTAATAGGATGATATGACCCCACAGTTTAGTTTAATTGTAGATAAATAATGAGATCGGCCTGCCCATTTACAAAATGTCTCTATTCCTGTTATTTACATAATACTCATCCCCTTCCAGCATATGGTGCTTTTCTCTCCCCTGTTTATTCAGGGTCCAATCCTGTTTCCACTAACGTCTGTGCTGTATATACTGTGTCTGTACTCTTACGGGTCTTCCACAAGACCTTTCCTCATGCCTGCTTGGATCTGAATTCTCTATCATCTTCATCCCTGTCATTTTATCAGTCACCTGAAGGACACTCAGGTCAGATACAGGGCTAAACTTCAGCTCCAGCAAAGAGCTTCAACACCTAACTGATTAAAATCAACACAAATTAGTTGTGCACCTCATGCAAGTTTAGATGACTGCATTGTAGCCACACACACACTCTCAAGTTAGGACCTTGAGTTTACGTAAAAGAAGAAAAAGTGATCACACTAAAGTTTCTGAATTAGGTGCAGGTCACTCATTAATGCAGTTTCTGGAATATGAATTGTCCTTACTCAATGATTATCTGGAATATAGGCATCATAATAATCTAAAGCTAAGGGGACACAACTCTGCACAATAGCCCAGGGCTCAGGCCAGCACCTGCAATGCGATAGCTTTTCCTGCATTAATATTTCTTTAGCCTAGAGGAAGATTCTGGGATGATCACAACATGACCATTTTCCTCGGTCAGGTTATGGAGGTAAGAAGCTTAGGGTGCTACTTTTACATTGTTTCATACTCTGATATTTCCACATAATGCTGGGTTGGGCACATCAGTCCTTGGGACATCCTCAACTCTGCAGTTCTTCAGACACACAGGTCTGCTTTGGCAAACATGTCTTAAACCTGACAAAGAGTTGCTTGAGGGAGAAGTCATCCAAGGAAGCTGACCACACAAGACATGAGTATGGAAATGTAGTCACAGTTTCATCCTAGCCTTCTTCACCTGACATCAAGTGATTCAAGTGACAGGGTTTACAGGCCCCTGGGGGGGACTCCTGCAGTCTCACAGCTCTCCATGACATTCCACTCGCATTTTCCATATGACAGCTTCAACCTTTAATCTTCCCTAAAACCCCTTGTGACCTAAACAATTTCTCCCCCTGGCTTATGGCCTTGATTTCCGTTTTCACATTGACTTTTTGGTAAAAGAAAGAGAGTAAGAGCTGGAACTTAATGCTTTCCTTTTATGGTTGCTGCTGTTGTTTTGTGGGGGTGGCTAGAAAAGAGAGCTGGGGGTTTGAGGGGGTTGTTTACTTTTAAAGGTTTCTCTTTTTTTCTTTTTTTTTTTTTCATCATGTGTTTACCATGTGTTTTGATCACAGTCAAAAAGAGAGCATGCAAAGAGGGTGATGCCTGCTCTGCAATTCCGTGCAGGTACGCACTAGACTTTGGGTCAGAAAAAGCTGTGATTCAAAGCAGCCAGACATCTGGTTCCTCATGCTTTTTGATCAAGGTCTACATCCCCTTCCTACTCTATGCTCTGACCTGACTTTGCTGAGTGATTGTAAAATACCCTTTCTCTGTTCCTTCACATCTCCCCTTAGCCTGGACCATGGGTCTCACCTAAGGGCCTGCTTTTGTTTTCTTGCCCTGCTCACATTTTGCTCTGTGTAGTTTGATTTGGCTTTGATATGAGAAAACAGTATCACTTCTAGCTCAGAAACCATCAAATGAGACAATGTCTGTGCATCTCAGGGAGAATAACCCAAAAGACTTGGTGTAAATAAGGGCTTTATTCAAAATAAAATGCTCACTGAATTAATTCAGATGGGCTTTTATCCAACCAGGAGAGTTTGGTTCTTCCAAGAAGGTCTCCTGTGACACTTCCTCCCTGCTTGTGTCCTTATGCAAACCTGCTCTCTTCTAGGACAGCATTACCTCACTTCCAGGACTTGTTCTTACTTCTGCTGAAATTTGTAATTTACAGTGTCTATCCAAAGATACCAGCACAGAATGATTTTATTTTCAAGTGGCTAACAATAAAAACTCACCTCCTGACCACCTGAAGAATGGAGAGGGTAGGAAGGGAAAATGCCTTTCATTCCAGGTCTTCAGAGCTGGAGCTACTGAAAGGAATTTGATCCAGGTTGAAATCTGAATCTGAAAGGAGTTTGATCAAAAATGAACCTGGTGTCAAAGCCACGAGATGGGTTTAGATTAAATGCTTCAAAAGGAAACCCAAATAGGTTTGGTTTTCAATAAGCTCAAAAAAAAAAAAAAAGAAATCTGTGTCTCAAAGTAGAAAATGGCTCATTATTCCAACAGCTATTAGATACATATTATACATCATGGGCATGTCAGGGAGAGCATGTCCTGTCATGGGACAGCTTGCATTGGCTCTCTGACCCTTTCTGGAGCCATCATATCAAGTGGTACATGTTGGCCACCTGAAAGATCTGAAACTTCTTTAGGAATTAAAAGAGTAGCAGCCAGCAGCCACGTGCCAGGAATCTGTAGTAGCTGTCCCTTTCTCTACATTTCAGAATTCTCATAGTCACGTTCTTTGCCATCACATTACTCGTCTTTGTCACATGGCTGATGTTGAGCTTACAGGACAGAAATTCACTGAATCCTTCATCATCTTTGATTAAATATAGATGCTGCTATTTGCAGCCTTGCAGACCCTGGGCCTTGTCAGCTGTAAATGCATTCCATTGCTTCCAACAGCAGAAAAGAGACACTTTGTCTGTCCTTCCATAATAGGATAAGCCAATTTATCACTTTCTTTCTCTGCAGGAAGCACATTCCTGACTGTAGGGTTACCTTTCCTCTGCTTGTAACTACTAAAGCTAGGAAAACTTTTAGGGCTCACAGCAATACCAGCCTTATCTATCCCTAATCTTCCCCTCTCTGAAGCCTTGCTTTTCCCTGCCTCCTTTCTTTTGTCTCCCATACACATTGACAGGACTAATGCCTTTGCTACTTTTGCTTTATTCCCTCCACTAATATCTTTTTGCTGCTCTGAACTTAAAGCTGTCCCATACCACACTGCCAGGATTTCCCAAGCAGAAGTAGGTACACACTCTTTTAGGGGTGCCTGGCAGGGTAAACACCTCCTGAGAAAGGACTACCATGAAAATCTTGCTGGTATAAGGACCCACTCAGAAGGGCCTTTTTCCTTTGTTTTCCTGGAGCAGAAGTAAATAGATGTCTGATGTTCAGGGGCTTTCATATGAATCCCAAGATTATCTTTCTTATAGTTACAGAAAAAGCAGGTCCCCACCAAGGGGTCTTAAATCTGAGCCTGCATCACAGGTGTTAGCAATCTTTTATTGATTGCATTTTACAGCACTCTATGGTGCAATCTGGCTGCTCTGAGACACTTGGAATTTCAACAAATTTTAACTTTCAAATTTTGACATTTTTCTGTGTTATCTGTCTGCCTCAGGCCAATGTCTTAAATCTAAGCAATTCAGTCCCTGAGGCTGGGGAAATTGTTCTTTTTAACTCAGGGTGACAAAATTTTGTTGCCCTTTTGAAAACAGCACTTCGAGCCGGAGCTTGAAATCTGGCACAGAGGTGGCCTATTCTGTTAATTTTGCTCTTTGCCATCATTGTCACCAACTACTGTTATCTGGCCAAAGTATTAGTCTTTGAAAAGTATTGGTTTGTACAGGTTTATTCTGTATCCTTTAGATGATAGCAATTGCATTCCTTACGGAGTCGATGCTCCCTAGGAGTGTTTACTCTGATGGCTCAGCACAGTCGCCCCCCACAAGTTCAGTTCTTGGCTGGCTGTGAACAACATGTGGGCCAGACTCTCATGAAAGCCAGCAGGGCCCTTTTCCCTTGCTTCCTGAATGCCCCACTGCCTCCATCACAGGATCAGGCTGGTGGAGCAATCTGCTCAAGCCTAACATGAAATAAATAATTTCCTATGACCACTTGCAAAATATGTGGGGTGCCATGGGGCAAACACTTTTGATCTTTACCTTGCTAAAATCAGCTGTTCAGCTCACTGTAACTGGGGCCCAGGAATATCTCCAGGAAGGATGTAGGAGTCTGGTTCAGTCTTTGTTGTTACCAACAGGAGAATGTCCATCTACCTTGGCAGAACCAGAGATTGGTGTGTGCTGGAAAGAAACACCTCTAACACACATGCTCACTAGAGAAAACCACAGTCAGAGTGCTGTTTATGTTGCACAGGGAGTTATTCAAATGCAGATCAGCATTAGCATAGCATTC